CTAAACAAACCCAAGATCCTGAATACGCCAACAGGGTGCCCCTGCAAAAGTGGGTCCAACATTAGCTCCCATGTCTTTCAATCCTTCCTTCCCCATGCCGGCATCAACCTTGCATTAGGTCTGCGTCTTCTTCCTGGACATCGTCATTGTCGTCGGGCTGGGAGCTCCAGTCTGCTTTGAAGAGCGTGGCTGTATCCTCCTACCAAGTCCCCAAAGTTGCACTCTGAGCCTCAAGAAGAGCATGCCAGAGAAGAGAGCTTCAGGATGCAGATCTTTTTGGAGTCCATCGGCCGGAAGCGGACAGGATGGGGATCGCCAAGAACACTTTCCGCTAGCTTCGTTTCTTGTTTCGTTTTCAGGCCGGGAGATCATGTCCCAAAAGGCCATGGCCAATGCACTGGCCAAGGCCGCCGGAGCCCTGGACTTTGTGCTAGCTGAGGTGATTAGTGCAGGGTGCAGAGATGACCTGAGGCCACGGGTGGGCCCACGGGGGCCCCGATTCCGGAGCACGCCCTCCGAGTTGTTTCAAGTTCTGTGATCCGACTACCAGCCTCGTTTCTTGGCTAGGCCAAGTGCTTCAAGCACTCAACGGCTTTCTGTGCTCTCGCAGGCCAAACTGCACTGGCCTTTACATGCGAGTTTCTTGTGACAGCGAGGAAGAGCTGTTGGCCCAGCTGCTGGCAGAGCACTGGGTGAAGATCGTCATAGGCCAATGTGCCGGTTGCAAAAGGCATGTTGGGAGCTTCTGGGAGCTTCTTGAGATTCCCACAGGCCTTGGCCTCTCCATTGCTTTTCGACTACCACAGCTGTTCCTGAGCGAGGACGGCCTGGAGCCCGGTTCGGGACAGTAAGGGGTCGCTCAGCGATGAACTGGTTTTGCGTGAAGGTGTCGTCTTCCACATGCTTTTTGCACCGCTGGCATGTCTGCTGTGAGCATGATGGGCCCGAATTCTGCGTCTTCATGGCAGACCCTGGTCATGGTCCTGAGATGTATGTCGCCTGTACGGGCCCTTCTGGTTCTGCGCAAAAGCTTTGGCATTCCACTGGCTTCAAGTCGCCCGAGGTCATGCTCTGGTTCCGTGATGAGATGGGCTTGCCAAAGAAGAGCAAGGGTACCCCAGCCTTGACCTTGACACACATTTTCTGTTGGAATCCAGAATTGAACTCTGGCTTGCCAAGGCTCCAAACGGGCCGCCGCGGCCAGAGATATCTCAACTTGGCACAGCAGGTCTGTGTGCTGGCAAGATCGGTCAAGGTCCGGCGCAACGACGCCGCCGCACAAGCACAGTCAATAGCTGCACGAGCTCAGCATGAGCTCAACACGAGCTCAGCGTGAGTCAAAGATCACTCGCGCGCGGGAAAGGCAGACCCTCATGTGACGCGGCTGTACAGTAGGTGGATGTAGGTGGGGAATTCCATGGACCCTGGTGCAGTGGTGCAGCTACCTTACACGCAATGCCTCTGTCAAGATTGTCAAGCCAAAACTGGACATCTCGAGTATCATGGATAAGTTGTGAGGGTTTCTTGTGAGCCGCTACTGTAGCATGAGACTGTAACATTGAAGTTCGTCCATTTGTTGACATGCTGGCCCTGCGGGTATGATCTGCCACATCTAGTCTGAAGATTTCTCTGCGGGTGGACTACAAGCCGCAGTGATTAATGAATGCTATAGAGCATGTGTTCATAGAGATCATAGAGCATCGCCTTACAGACCGCATGGAGCCTGATGCCGAAGGTGGCCATCAGGTTGGGAACTGACGTGGTGTCAGCAGCTGCGATTTTTATGGTATCTCTGCAGATGGGTTGGATGGGGTTGGGTTGAAGAATTGAAGGGTTCACAGAGTGCCAGGTATGGATCCGTTGTGAGGAGTAGAGTGAGTCGAAGTGAGTCGTTGTCAGGCAGTGGCTGCGGCTGGGGTCACCCGCATGCGTTGCTCTGGCGTCCGTTCTGCTCACAGACGCTGTGGCACAGGCTACTGAGGGCGAGAGATATCAGATATTGTCACATCATTGCAGCTCGGTAGCCCTTCTAGGAACCTCCCTGGGCAGCGAACAAGCAATGCCCGCATCCCAGCCCATCCTAGCACACTCCACCAGCAGTCTCCTAAAGAGGTCCAGAAAGCTACGACAGCAACGGCATGTGGAAGGCGTGTTAGATCCTGCAAGACATCGGACGGCTGTTGCAAGCCACAACATGACAGGGCTCTCGCTTGGTCGGGGGCAACTACACTCTCTACTGTGCCCCAGGCTTCGAGGCCCCAAACCGCATGGACTGGGAAGGTGCGAGAGATCTCCGATCTGCCTGCCAGGTCTCAGGGCCGAGCGGAGGCGCAGCGATGGCTGCTTTGATGGGTTTGGACAGCCCAGCTTCCTGATCCAGGTACCAGCCAATCCCTGACTTGTCCGCCCAGCTTGGTTTGGCCACAGGAGCACTTAAGCCTAAATTGCAAGTTAGGGGGCTGAACGGCTTGGTAGTATACATTAGTATACCTCTTTTCAGGAGCTCCACTGCAAGAACGTGGATGACTGCGCTAAGCTGAGGCCTTTCTGAACGCCATGCAGTGCCATGCAGTGCGTTGGCTCGTTGGCTCGGCTGTCCGGAGGCACGGTTGCGGGGCTCTTGGGATTTGTCTGGACCTGATAGACGGCTACGATTGCAACTGTGAGAATGCAGGTGCCCCAGTGATAAGTGGATGGATACTAGCAGTTAGTTCATCTCTATACATAAACCTGAACTGCTCAGTCTCAAGCTGCTTTGAAGGGATTCTACACGCGGCACTACGTGGACGGTGAGATCGTCTGTGGCCCCGAGGCTTGTTGCTTTTCAAGACAGCGATAATCACTGGCATCAATATCACTCGGTACTTTGTTGAGGCTGTGCGTTCTGTTGATGTGCCACAACCGGAAGTACCCTCACAGTCAAGACTCAGATGGTAGTAAGCAATCGCCGTACCCATTGTTGTCATGTTCATATCGGTTCATACCCATGAGATCATGCTCAAGTTGCTAGCTTTCCGGAAAGACATAGTCTACGGGCTGGCGCCGCTGCCGCCAACCCGGGCAGTAGGGAGTCGGGGGGGGGGGTTGAATGGGGGAGGCCTGGAGGGGGAGCGCTAGGGAGGCTGGGAGGGAGGCCTGTGGCAACCTCTCGTGCCGGCAATGCCCGCACTCTGAATCAGCAAAAAACTAGACCCCGATTATCCCGAAAGCCATCAGTTCGATGTTAGCAAGGGACGCGTATCTGGCCGTGTTCTAGGAGCTGCGGTCGTGGTTTAGCGCTCATTAGGCGTTTGTTGAGTGTGCAACTGCGGCTCCTCATTTTGGAGTTTTCAGGCTGCGAGCTGTCCAAAATGTCCAAAATGATGCGAGAAACGGTTTGCTTGCCCAAGCCCCTTTGCATACATCATGTTCCATGTCGGGTTGGGGCAAAGAATCCTGTCGTGGTATCCAAGACTTCTGAAGCGATACAGAAATACTTTTCCTGTCGTGGTTGCCGCGCCCCTAGACCACTTCAAAGGCGAAGGAGTAACTGCTGCCCATGACCCATGACGCTCTCAAGGCTTCGCGAAACAGATGATGCTCAGTACTCTCCCCCTATCATTATGACAAAGGTTCTGAAACCACGCCGATGGCGTCGTGGGCTGCGTAAAGTAGAAACGAGTCCCAGCCGGTGCTCATGACTCATGTTGCCGGGTGTGATGGTGCCACAGGGTGTTGACAAGCAGCATCATCCTATAGCATCAAGCAAGGATGAGCGCAACCCTACTGATGCTCATGATGCTCGGTATGACGTTTTCAAAAGGCATAGATGGGGCCATTCGATGTCATCAATGGGCGCGTCAAGGAGAAACCCGACCCCTCTGATTCTCACGATGCTGGCTGTGAGGGCAACGCGAGGTTCTCAAGGTCATGATGCTGGCTGTGATTGTTACATATTGGTGTCGTGTCCCGTGTCGACAGCCCCCCCCCCCACCATCCGCCCATGGTATGGCCCCCTAACCCCCAGCCCCGCACTCGCACAAGTTTGAACCAGGTCACGATCCTCGTAACTGTCCTCGTTTTTGAGGCCTCGGACCTGCCATTCACGTAACTGTCATCGTTCTTTGATGTCAAAGATCTCAAAAGTGCCAACAGTTACAAGGATTGCGGGTGTGCTGGTCACAATCCTCGTAACTGTCACCGTTTATCTTGTCGCAGATGTCAAAAGATCTCAAAAGTGCCTACAGTCACAGGGATGGCGCGTGTCCTAATCACAATCGTCGTATCTGTCAGCATTTTTGATGTTGCAAATCTAGCAA